AATGAATGAAGCGAAAAATTGTGTTCTCTTTTTTTCATGTTTAGGTATTTTGCTTTTTGGAATATGTATATGGAACACGGTAGTAGATCTTCAGTATAAATAATGTCGTCCGACATGGTGTCTGGTGTGCCTGTGGGACATTACAAGGATGCACACGTGGCATTCAAAATTAACTAATGCCCGGTTGCATAATGTCCTCGTAATTTCGGACCTGCGGGAGCCGTAACATCGCGGTTCCCTTTAAAATGTCCTTCTACCTTGCAAAATGCTCCCACAATCCGAAACACACACACATACACATTAATAGTTGATATTTTTTTCAATTACATAAATTCACACTGAATTTAATTTTTTTTTTTCTTCTAAATATTGCACAAAAAATTTTTTTTTTAATAATTTAATTTCAAAATTATTAAAAAGTACATTGAGAAAAATATTCAAATAGCATTTCTGTATAAAAATTATTGATTCTGAAGCATATGCTATAGAATCTATAAAATATTTTACAAATTTTATAGCATATGTTTTTGAATCAATAATTTTTATATACACTGAGAAAAATATGCTATTGAATCAATAGCATTTCTGCCAAAGGCATAAAAATTATTGATTCAAAAGCATATACTATAAAATTTGTAAAATATTTTATAGATTCTATAGCATATGCTTTTGAATCAATAATTTTTATACCTTTGTCAGAAATGCTGTTGATTCAAAAGCATATTTTTCTCAGTGTACCATTGGCAGAAATACTGTTGATTTAATATCATATTTTTCCATGGCATTAATTAATTAATAATTAATATCTGCATTAATTTATAAGGCATTAATTGAATCGATTTTTAAATTAAATACTCTAATGGAAAAAAAAAATTTTAAAGGAAGTATTTTTTAGAGATTTTGTAATAGCCTTTTTCTTTTTAATCAGCTCAATAATAGCGTTATCGCACATTTTCCATAGACTTGTATCCGCTTTTCTAAAATTTAGAATCCTCTAAGTGTCTGGGGGCAAAATTGTCGACAATTTTATTAAATAAATGGCATCCAGGGAACTTAAGTGTCTCAGATTTATGACTGTGAGCGCCCTGCTTTTCCTTGATAGTAATGAGGATTTTCCGGTATATAAGAGCTTGGCGCGCGCAAATTAGAGGAAACTCGTTAGGACAATTCTGAAAGAGAGTTAATATCGCACTTCTTTTTTTTTTTTTTTTTTTAAACATTTCCCTTTTAAGATATCTCTATATATAGACACGATTTTGATGCTCGCAGAGGATTTTTCATGTCATTATTATTTTAATGGCGATCGAATATAATCCTTTTTCTTTTACAATTTCTGATCGTGCTTCATCTTTTTCTCGCGTACAAAAAAATTAATGTTTGCCAAGAGAGAAAAGTGGAACGAGAGAAAGAATGAGGAAAAAAAAAAAAAAGAAGAAATCTCTCGCGAAGATACGCGGTGGTCCAGGAGGTGAAATAAAAGAATAAAAGATGAGGGTCGAAGATTTTATTATTTTTGTGCTTCTCTTCACGATTACGAGTTGGCATTTGATAAGACTTTCAATTTATTTATTTATTTTATAACATGTTCGGTTAAAATCATAACCAGAAATTAAATTCTTGTTCTCTTATTTTAATTACTTTTTATTTATATTTATTTTTTTTTTTATGAAAATGGTCTAAAAACGTTTTTAAATTTCTATTTTAATTTAAAACAAATTTTATTCAATTTTCCCCAATGTTAAATAGAAATTAAATATGAATTAAAATAGCGGGGCTCTAATTTAATTAAGCTATTATATATCCTAAGAATTTAATATTTATTTTTTCATCTCTAATTTTCGTTCATCCATTTAATTTTTCAATTCGTTTTTTTTTTGTCAATTGATTATATTTAATATTTCATTTTCACATTTATTTTTAATTCACCGGACTGTTTTTAGGGAAAATTTACCTTAAAAAAAAAAAAATTAATTAGGACAGGATAGAAAAGGTCATATATATGTGACTCTTTTTTTTTTTACTCTCCATACATAATAAATTGTTCCGGTACATGAAACATTTTGTCACTTAATGAAACTATTACAGTTTTACGACATTGTTACTTGCAGTTAATTCTTTTTCACGAGAAAATAAAAATAAAATTGAGCTTGAAAATTGTCTTCGCACAATTTCTTTTCTCAATGTTGAAAATTGTTTTAAATTAGATATTGAACACTTTCATCAATATATAAGAATATTGTTTTTTTTTTAAAAAATACAAAATGGAAGTGTAAATAATTTTTTATTTTTTAATTCGGGAGAATTTTGATAAAAATAAAAATAGTTTTTTTTTTTTTATTTTTAATACGAAATTCTTGAGAGGTAGATATATATATGAGAGTAAAAGAAATTGAATTTAAGAGAAAGAACAATGGACGGAAAAATCGAGAAATTAGATTAGGCAATTTTTTTCTCACCTTTTTCCGGACCTTAAAAAGTCTAATTACTTTATATTATTGCTATAAGGTAGAGGAGGAAAAAAAAAATAGAATAAACTGAGTCGACAGCGGATGAAACAACAGAATACGAAAAATTTTCCTAGATTGTATTTAACTTGAGACAAGTGTAGAATTTTTTATATATTATTTTATTTATTATTTAATTATTATTTAATTATTTATTTATTATTTTGTATTTTTTGTTTTATAATTATATTACAGTTTTTCTTTTTTAACCAAAAATTAATTTTTATAATTTATAAATTTATTACACTGAAAAAAAATTTATTTGATAGAAATTTTATTATTTTGATAATAAGTAGGTAATGGATTATTTGAATCAAATAAATTTTTTTTGATTGCACATAATTATTATTTAGTTTTTCTTTTTTCTTAATCGAAATTAATTTTCGTAATTTTTTAATTATTATTCAGATAAATGGTTTTTGTTTTTCCCTATTTTTGAAAATCTCGATAAAAGATTGAAAATAAAGAAAAATTGCAATCACCAATTTTAATTAAAATTTTTGTCAATATATGCGAACGTATATATATATATATAAAAAAGACGAGATTGTCTAAATGAAACGGATTTGCATGTGGGGAAAATATAAAAAGAAGTGGAAAACAAAACATAGAAAGCGCATTTTCTGTCGCTTAACGATGAAGGATGAACGTAATATTATATGACCAGTGTGGACCATAGGTCTCTGAACGCAAGTCGCAAAAACCATTCGTTCAAATTAAGAAGTTGATACGGATTTAATGGGTTTTGTTTTTCGTTTCATTCCTGCCAACTCTCTCCCCCCTCTCTCTCTCTCTCTCTCTCAATCACTTTCTGCTTTTGTTTTCTCCAAATTCGGAAATAAATGATTGAACGGATATCTATAGAAACTTCTTTTCCTCTATTATATGAAAAAAAAGAGAGAGAGAAAAAAAAAACCTTTTTCCACGAATACAAGTGTAATTAGTAAACTACTTTTCCACATTTGGCGCACAAGAATAAAAACAGGACATACAATAAATCATAAAAGGTATCAAGATATTTTTAAATGACTTTTTCTTCCTCTTCTCTTCTCTTTCTCAGAATTCGATGATTCGGATAAAATTAGTTTCTGATATAAATAAATGTGAGCAAAAGAGGTTTGTGTATATATCGAATATGAAAAATTTAGTTCAATTTAAATATTTAAGGCAAAAGTTTATTTTTAGAGTTATGGAAGAGTAAAGGATTTTTAATTCAATTTTCTCTACTTTGAATCATGATAAGAAATATATTTATTGAATATAAGCAAATTTTGTGCAACAATAGTTTGAAAAATTTATTTTATTAAAAAAAAAACAATTTTATTTATAAATATTTAATAAAATTAATTTATTGTATTAATAAATATTTGTTAATAAAATTAGTTTATTGCATTAATAAATATTTGTTAATAAAATTAGTTTATTGCATTAATAAATATTTATTTTTTTATTAATTTATTTATTAATTTATTTAAGAATTTTTACGGCCTATTGATTAATTTGTTAATCAATTTAATAATTTTTGATATCAATATGATAATTTTCTAAATTAACTATGAAACTGCTTTTTTATTTTGAAATTTACTTTTTCAATCGAGGGGCGGAAATATTTAATAGAAATAAAAAATAGATTGAATATGTTTTGGACGAGAACTTTATATAGTTGTAATCCTTCTTTAATTCAAGAAAAAGGAAAAGTAAGGAGATTTAAGTGGATCAACTCCGTGTTTGGTCGGACGTATACAGTAGTGTTACTTTTTCCGACATCTACTTTATATACGACCCTCGACAGATTACAAACTTCATATATAGAAAAAAAAAAATTTTCTTTTTTTCATTTTATTTTCCCTTTTTTAAATCGTATTTTTTCTTATTTCTGTATATATATAAATTTTATTATTATACTTATCCGATAAAATAAAATTGTTTAGAAAATTGAAATAATTGAAATAAATAATAATTATATAATAATTATTATTATTAATAATTATATAATAATAATTATTATTAATAATTAATTATTAAAATTATTATTAAATTTTATCTTGATCTTTATAAAAATATTAATTAATAAATATTGGTTAGAAAAAAATTTTTCAAAATATTAATTTTCCTTTCTTTTTTATTCCCTCAAATAGAAAAAAAAAGTTTTCTTTTTTGTCAAAAAAAAAATAATTTTTTTGTTTGCAAAAAAATTTTGATAAGGAAATAAAATTTCATACAAAAAATATATTTTTTTTTTATAAATAAAATGGGAAAATTGACTTTTATATACGAATTTCATAAAATACTTTATAACTTGAACATGAAAGTCGTCGAATAAAATTAGTTGAAATTGTTGTTGTGTTTTGCCAGAAGTTGAACTGACGGTAAGGTTACGCTCGCGATATATAAAAGCCATTTTACCCTGTACTATATATATATAAGAAAAAAAAGAAAGTACCAAGTCTCATCTGGTTTTTTTTTTGTTTTCATTTCTTTTTCAATTGTTTTCAGTTCTGGCTAGTGGCCGTGGTGAGGAGTGCGGACACGAGGAATTATCCAGATGTGCCAAGCCACTTCAAGAAATCACCCGCAACAGCGAACTGAGCTTTTTCATCAAGAAACAAGAACTCGATCAAGTTGTCTGCCCGTGAGTATTTTTCCCAGCTTTTCTAAATTAATTAATATTTATTTAATTGTATAACAGAAAACAAAAGGCGGCGGGGTTCAATTAAATGAAAATTTATAAAAACGATTATTCTTTACTTCAATATGCATTACTCGGGATTATTTATTTTATTATTTTATTTATTATTATTTATTTTATTATTTTATTATTTTATTTATTATTATTTATTTTATTATTTTATTATTTTATTTATTATTATTTATTTTATTATTTTTATTATTTTTTTATTTTTTTAAAAAAGTCTATAATCGCTCTCTAAATCTGAATTAGTAACTCACTTTTTGCTTCTCAATTAGTAAAATTTTACTAATTATTAGTAACTTTTACTAACAATTAGTAAAATTTTACTAATTATTAGTAACTTTTACTAAAAATTAGTAAAATTTTACTAATTATTAGTAACTTTTACTAACAATAAGTAAAATTTAACTAATTCTAAAGCAAAAAGTGAGTCACTAATTTAAATTAGTAAACATTTTTACTAATTCAGATTTAGAGAGCGTATAGTAATTAGTTATAAAATATAATAATTAAATTTCTTTTAAAATTATAATTTTCAAAAAAACAAAATATTTTTTATAATTCGCAGCGGAAAATTTAATTTTTTTTTTTTAGAAAAAATAGAGGAAAAATATTTTTTTCCAATGGGAGAGGAAATGTTTTGTTAATTAATCCCATTAAAAATTTGTGGAGGGAAATTTAATTTCTTTTTGGAAAAAATAATACTTTTTCTCAATAATAGAGGAAATTTTTTGTTAATTAATTAAGCTTGAAAAAAATACCCCACTTAGATTAATTTTTTTCTCCCCCATACCAAATCCATACACTCTATATATATATAGGGATTATATAAATTCTTTTTGAAATTTTCTCCACTTAGCGTAATTGTTACATGTTTTGTTTGTTTTCAAAGCAATTATCTGAAAAGTATTTGTATTTTCAAAAAAAAAAAAAAACTAAATCGTAGATTGAAAGAAATTTTTTTTTTTTTCGTTAAGAGGAAATTTGTTTGCTTTTAACTTTAAAGTTAAATTCATCTTATAAGAATGTTGTAAAATAAATTATTTTAAGTAACTTGAAAAGTTAGTCGTGGGAGAATCCACTTTAAATGCGATTAATCGTAGAATCACTCGACAAGTTTTCGGTTAAGGCAAAATGCGGTAAGATAGAGTGAGAGAGAGAGAGAGAAAGAGAAAGAGAAGGAGATACCTTGTAAATGGAAACGATTTACTTTAGAGGGGACTTGATTGTTCACTACTGAATTTTGTTGGTTCTGATTTTCTTGGCCGTGGCCATGTGAAGAGGTATCTCTCAAACACAAAGTATGGAATGGGACGACAAAGAGAAAGATGAATGTCACTAATTACCACAGCTCTTAAGTTAATTTCACTTCTCGTGAGAGATTCGAGTCACGTGTCCTCACTTTAAGCGCATCAAAGATTTCGAATAGTGAAAAAAAAAATAATAGAAAATTCCGCCTCTAAATTCCCATTGCAAATTATTTTTTTCCTTTTGTAAAAAAAGAGAATTTTTTTCTCGAAATTTTTTTTCCCTAAATAGAAAATTATTTCTCGATTTTCACCATTTTTTTTTTTATTTTCATTTATTATAATTTTTATATTTATTTAATAATAAATTCAATCAATTAATTAAATTAATTTAATAATTTTTTATATTTTATTTATTTTTCTAATAACTTATTTATTACAATAAATTATTTATAAATAAAATATTGTATTTATAATATCTATATTTTTCAAAATTAATAAAAAATTGAACATTGCGACAGAAAAGAATTTTTAAATTATTTTTATTATTACACGGAAAAAAAGAAAAAGTAATTTTTACTACTTTCATAGTAAAACGGGAACTGTCCTAAGTTTCTGTGCAACTTTTCCTCCAAAAATAGTAAAAATTTACTCCAGAAATAGTAAAAATTACTACGGAACAGTAAAATTTACTACAAAAATAGTAAATTTTACTATTTTTGGAGTAAAAGTTGCCAGAGATGCGCAGAAACTTCATTTTACTATGAAAGTAGTAAAAATTATTTTTTCTTTTTTTCTGTGTATTATTTTTATTTTTGATTCAAAAACATTATATATAAAGATTATATGAAATAATTATGAAAATCTTAAATAAATTTTCATATATTAAACAAATAATGCAAATGTAATTTCAACATGTGCTTTTGAAAATTTACTTCCATGAGGAAACTTGGAAAGTTTTCGCGTGTATTATCTATCTGACTATCTAGGGGGAAATAATTTATCGAATCCTCATAATTTTCGGCTTCGATAATACGAATCTACGATTGGTTGGTTCAGATAGCAGCAGATGTAGCTGAATTATCGAATGGGATTTTCGAAAAAAAAAAAAAAAAAAAAAATTTCCTTCTACCTCAATTGAGGTGAGACCTTGCACTTCTATTCACCCTATTATCAGATTTATTCTATATTTAAATCGAAAAAATATTATATATTAAACGAGATGAAAGATAAATGGCAAACTATTTTATTTTTTTTCGGAGGGAAAAATTGGTAGTGAATTTTTTTTTTTTACATTTTTGGTTAAAAGTCAATTTTATTCAATTGAGTATTTTTCAAAATTTTTTGAATTTGTTTTTCGAATAAAAAATTTAGTTATTTTTATTATTAAATTATAATTAATTGAATAATAAATTATTAATTTATTAAATAATTAATTAAATAAATTGCCGGTAAATTGAAAATAAATAAATATGTTATAATAAAATGTATACCGCGCTCTGAAAAAAAGCAAAAAATTGTAGGTTATGTTTATAGTTTACCTTTTTCTCAGGCAATTATCATAAACATAACCTATAATTTAGTTGCTTGGCAACTTTTTTCTTTCAGATCGCGTCACATATTTTAATTAATATTAAATAAAAAAATAAGAATACAAAACTTTTATTAGGTTCAATAATTTAATAATATTATAATTTAATTATAATTTATTATAATTTTTTTTTCCATATTTATTATAATTTAATTATTATATTAATAATAGAAATAATAAAATGTGACGCCCTCTGAAGAAAGGGACGCAAAAAATTATAGGTTATGTTTACCTTTTTGGCTCTAATCTATCATAAACATAACCTATAATTTTCTTCCTTTCTAGGACAAAAAATAAATATTTTTTCCTCATTTCACGTCAAATATTTTAATTAATATTAAATAAAAAAAAAAGAATACAAAACTTTTATTAGGTTCAATAATTTAATAATATTATAATTTAATTATAATTTATTATAATTTTGTTTCCATATTTATTATAATTTAATTATTATATTAATTAATAGAAATAATAAAATGTGACGGCCTCTGAAGAAAGGGACGCAAAAAATTATAGGTTATGTTTACCTTTTTGGCTCTAAACTATCATAAACATAACCTATAATTTTGTTCCTTTCTAGGACAAAAAAATAAATATTTTTTCCTCATTTCACGTCAAATATTTTAATTAATATAGAAAAAAATAATTAAAAATTTTTTTTTTTTTTTAATTACAGAAAATTGGAGGACAGTGTTAAGTGCATTAATTTCTATACATTAAGGTGTATGAAGGAGCAACAGAGAGATCAATTCAATGCACTCTATGCAAGCACAAATATGGCAATTAGAGAGCTCTGTCAAGATGGAATTTATCAAGAAGGTAAGGATTGACTCTTAATCAGAGAAAGATCGGAAGGCGAATATATCGATTTATTGATTATTAATGAGAGTGAGAGGAGGGTTTAGACTATGTCAAAATCAAAGCTAACCGGTAATCATTCCAATAATGTAGAGAATGCGAAGTGCATTATCATATATTTAGATAGGCTCTCGCTGTTTAATTATTTTCCTCATAATTTTGGAAAATTCAACTCGAATGTTATATACAAAGACAATATATATATATATATATATTATATTCTCTCTTCACTAAAATTTATGACCAAGAAAATCACGAGATTATTTTGACGTTGCAACATATTCAAAGACTAGAGACCACAAAATATACATTTCCTGCGTCATTTCAACACTCAAAATTTAATGTTAGTTTCTATTGTGACCTCAAAAATTTTCTTTCACTGTTTCAATGCACTCAGAACAAATTAACGTAAATTATTATCATTCTATAGATTTATTTTTTTTTACCCTGGTGATTTAAAATTCCAATTTAATTTCTAAATTTTTTTTCTGTTTATTGAAAAATATTTTTAAATAATTGTTTAGAAAAAAAAATGTTTAGTAATTTTTGATTTTCTCTATCGAAAAATATAAAATTTGTTTATAAAATTGTTTGGTAAGTGAAAAATTTTTGTGAAAACCACAGCAAATTTAATAAATTAATTTTCAATGGTAAAGTCAGCGTTAAAATTCAATTATATATATATATATATATATATATATATATATTTTTTTAATTACAAACACTCTCCTCTCATGTGTTTAACAACTGTAATTCTATTTAATGAAACTGAATCGTATATTCAAAATTTAATCACATTTCCAGTCTCCTTTAATCAATATTATAAATTTTAACTTCAAAGTGCGATAACGATTGAATAAATCACGAATTCCTTCTCTATCAATTATTTATACTAATTTTAATATAGACTGTTAATTATCGTTTAAAAAAAAAGGAAAAAAAAATTATTTCAAATAAATATAAATATTTTTAAATATTTAAAAGAAAATAATGAAATTAGGAGAAATTTTTTTTTTGAGAAAAAAATTAATTATATAAAAAGAACTGTGAATTGCATTAATTCAATTAAAATTCCTTCTTTTTTTTTTTTTTTAATGAATGTCCAGCTTTCCTGGAGCACGTTCCATGTATGCAAAAAGAGACAGTAAAGAGAGAATATAATAAGTGCTCGGACGCTTACCAAAATGGATTAAAGGAAATGGAAAATTCATCACTCACCGGACGTGGAGGTCCAACTTCTCTGAAATCACTCTGCTGGTAAGTTCCTTGTTTTCCTAAAGCAAACCAGAGAAACATTAAAAAAATATATTTCTATTTTATAATATATTCTTGTGAAGGGCAAATAGAAATTTACAAAATTTTACAATTAAATTTTAAATAAATAATAATAATAATTTTTTTAGTAAATTTTATTTAAACAATGACGAAATTAAACAATTAAATTTTTTTTTAACAAAAAGCAAATAATCATTAAATATTAAAATTAATTAAAAACAAAAGGGAAATTGAATTTTTTATACATTCAGCTTTCTTCAATTGTTGTAAATTAATTAATTTAATATTAAACAATTTAATTATGAATGAAAATTATTTTTAATTATTAATATTGTTAACTTTATTATTATTAATAATAATTATTAATTATTAAAATTTTACTGCTAATGTTAATTAAAATATAATTGTTTAGAATTCGTTTAAAGAATTTTTTTTTTTTTTTTGAATTAATAAATACTAAAAAATATAAATATAAACATTGAATGAAAGGTTAAATATTGTTACACAAATTTTTAATATTCAAATGAACTATTGACATTGAAAATATTAACATCTTAAAATGTACAATTTTCACAATAGAAAGTCCATTAATAATATACAAAAAATGCTTTTTAATTATCAATTTTCTCACATTGTATATTATACTTTGTTTTAATAATGAATCATTACAATGTGACACGTGCTAATGAATATTGTGAATTTTCACCCTTGACATATTGAAAAAATTAATATTCTAAACTTTTAATAAAATTAATAATCATCACTGTAATGGGAAAATTTTTTTTATTTAATTCAAATAATTACTTGACTATTATCAAATAAATATTTCCAAGAACCAAATAATTTTCTGTATTTGAAAAATTAATTTAAATAAAAATTATTTGGTCCAAGGAAATATTTATTATTATTTAGTAAATTATGAATGAAAATTATTTTATTTTTTTTTTGAAAAAATTAATAAAAAAAAAAATTATTAAGACGATTATAGTATTAATTATATCATTGGATATATGTAAATGTACATTTCTATTGCTTTTAAGTGAAATAAACAAAATTATTTAAATGCGCAGTCGTAGCAACATGTTAAGATCATGTTTCCTAATGAATCTCATGCAAATGAGGAAATGTAATCATACTACTTCCTATATAGTATATACATATATGTATACTTCACCGGAAACTGTGCTCGCACGTTATGTATGTAAATCGACTATATAGATGCACTTGAGACCCTTGCGGAACGTCAAGGTCATTATCGTCAAATTTCTAGTTTCACTTTAATGAGAAATATAATGCAATCATTATTTCACCTTAAGGTATATTGCCATACCATTATGGTTATTTATTCATTTCCCTTACAAACAAAAAAATAATAGAAACTATAGTTGGCCGTTTAGGATAAATATGCTAATTAACCGAATTTCCATTTTTAAACATTTTTTTTCAAAAGAGTTAGTTAAACAGAATTTTTATTTAGCCGAATTTTTATTTAGCACAATTTTATTTAGCAAAATCTTAGTTAACAAAATTTTATTTAACACAATTTTATTTAACAAAATTTTATTTTTCATAATTTTATTTAACAAAATTTTATTATAGGCAAATTCTCATTTAACTGAATTCTAAAATGATTTTTATTTGGCAGAATTTCCATCATAAAGAATTTATTAAGCCGAACTTTTATTTAGCACAATTTTATTTAGCCAAATTTTATTTAACAAAATTTTATTATAGGCAAATTCTCATTTAACTGAATTCTAAAATGATTTTTATTTGGCAGAATTTCCATCATAGAGAATTTATTAAGCCGAACTTTTATTTAGCAAAATTTCATTTTACAGAATTTTGATTGGTAAATAAATTTTTGTTTTAGGAAAATTATTATTTAATTCACTACTTAACATTTATATTTGGCAGAATTTTGATTGGTAAATAAATTTTTGTTTTAGGAAAATTATTATTTAATTCACTACTTAACATTTATATTTGGCAGAATTTTCATTGAAGAGAATTTATTTAGCCGGACTTTTATTTAGCAAAATTCCATTTTACCAAAATTTTGTTCAATCAACAAATTTTCGTCGAAGGAAATTTCTTACTTAACTAATTTCCATTAAAGAGAATTTATTTTGCCGACTTTTTATTGAGCAGATTTTTTTGTAAAGCAAATTTTTATTTTGGAAAAATGCTCATTTAACTGAATAGTTAACATGATTTTTATTTGGCAGAATTTAGAATTGAAAAGAATTTATTTAGCCAATTTGTTTATTCAGCAATATTTTATTTTAGTGAATATTTTTGTTAAATAAATTTTTTCTGCCAAATACTTATTTCTAACTGAATTTTTGACATTATTTTTATTTGTCAGAATTTACAATAAAAATAATTTATTTAGCCGAATTTTTATTCATTAAAAATTAATTCAGCAGAATTTTTTTTTGATAAAAACTGAATTTTCTAACATTTTTATTTGGCGGAATTTTTATTAAATTTATTTAGCCGGACTTTAGCAAAATTTTAAATGAACCAAATTTTTATTAAAAGAGATTTTTGCTTAAATTTTCAGCTAAATTGGAATTTGGTTCATATAATTTAAATTTGGCAAATTCGGTTAAATATTCTACCAATTAGAAAGCTGAATTTTCTTTTGATTTAAAAAATAATTTTTTTCCACAAAAAAAAAATATTTCAAAAAAATTAATTCAGCATAATATTAATATTAAAAAATATGAAAATTTCTTTTTTTTTTGCTCTAATTATAATAATACCGAGATGAATAAGTATACGTGAGTAACAAATAACTTTTATGAGTTTTTCATGCCTAACTCTCGACACCTTCATCCCTGCAATTGGATCCCAGGGGGGAACGAGTTGAAAAGCTGCAGCAGACCGTGGCATAGATAGGCTAATGACTTTACTGGGTCTGCACGTGGAAATACCCGTATATTGAAATGTCCGGCTGACCGAGTAAAGCGCGACGGCAATTTCCCTTCCAGTAAAGTCGTCATTTCTCGAAAAAGTATTACCCCGTCGGGAAATGAACAGTTTTTTTCCTTTTCTTCTTCTTTTTTTCTCTTTTTAATTTTTTTTTCTTTTTTGATAATTTTATCCATTTAACGAAAAGTAATATGCTATAATTGAAAAAAAAAAAATTGTCATTTTTCGTTAAAACGAATACAACAAAAAAAAAAATATATATATATCAATCTCGGAATATTGACTTCTTTTTTTTTTGAAAAACAAAGGAAAATTATTTTTAATTAAAAATTAAAAAATTAAATTTAATTAAAATAAAAAAATTTTAAATTAAAAAAAATTAATTATTAAATTAAAAATTAAATAAAATATATAAATAAATTTTTTAATATTATTCGAAATTTATTTATTTACACTGAAAAAAAAAATTTATTTGATTCAAATACTCGATTACTTGACTATTATCAAATAAATATTTATTTGTATCAAATAATTATTATTTGAATCAATTAAATGGTATTTGTTTCAAATACAGAAATTATTGGTTGAAATACAATTTATTTAATTAATAATATTTGGTTAAAGTAAATATTTATTTGATAATAGACAAGTAATCAAGTATTTGAATCAAATAAATTTTTTTTCAGTGTAGTTATAATTATTTTATTATTTATTATTATTATTATTATTATTATTATTATTATTATTATTATTATTATAATTTTTGTATTTTCTAGTACTTTGTACGAAAGGGCCCCGTATATAAATAAATAAATTATTTTTAGTAAAAAAATAATAATAAATTTTAAATTCAAATATTAATAAAATATAGAATTAAAGAAAAAAATTTAAATAAAGCGAGCAATAATTCAGAATTAGAACCTTCTTTTTTTGTTTATTTTTCAAAATATTTAACGGATTTTTATATTTGCAAAAATATCATTTTTAAAAAAAAAAAAATAAAATAAATTGACAAGTGTCAACAATTAATAATTTTTTATTGCCTTTATTTTTGTTTCAGTTATTTCCAAACATATTTGGATTGTTCGCACAATGTTGTACTGAGAGAATGTGGTGCAGACACGGCGGAATTTACAAAAGATTTTTTGGATCGAATGTCAAATTCATTGAAAGAGGTGAGTACAAAAAATAACAATATAGGATTTTTTTTTTTTTTTTTTTATCAAGAGAAAAACCACGATTATATGGCGACCAAATGAGTTGTAATTAAATTATACGATTTTGAATTTGTATTTGCGAGTTGCAATAAAAGTAAGAAAATTGGCTAATTCTTGTTAAGGGACCAAACATTGTCATTACACTGGAGAATACTTATGAACGAGTATTGCCCAGGAAACTTCAATTACATTTTGTATACATTTACAAATTAAAAGGCTAATGTTACCCACTTGAATGGGAAAATGAAAATGACTTTTTTTTTTTTTAAAAAAAAACTATATAATTAAAGTAAACGGGATCTCATTTATATTTCGATCAAAAAAGATTCGAATTTTTAAATCCAATTACCATGATTTGAAATTTCAGTTAAAAATTAAAATTTTTTTATTGGAAAAAAAAATTTCCCAAAGTGATTTTGTTATTTAATTTTTTTGTTTCAGTCACATTGTAAAAGTTATCCACTCTCGACATGTCCAAGCAGTTCAAGTTCGTCCATTAGCCTATCCAGCCTGCTACTTCCAGTTCTTATCATATTGAGCAGATATTTCACTTAAATAAATTGAAATAATTATCGTGAACCGGAAGTGGAAATTTTTTTTAATACACAAAATAATGATTATTAAAAAAAAAAAAAAATATTCTTCCCCGCGTCGATTCACGAATAAATAGGCGAATAAAATGAAATGCCACCTCGAGATAGAGAGAGAGAGAGAGAGAAAAAAAGTGTCGAAAATTTTTTTTCGACGTTAAACAACTATTATTTGCAAAAAACGAAAAAAAAAAAAACTATTCTCACTCGTCTGTGATGCTTTCGATTTTTGCACGAAAGGAAATGAAAGTATACACACATATAGGTATAGTATAGAAAAAGAGGAAGCAAAATGAAGAGAATCAATTGAAAAAGATGAAGATAAAGATTATAAGATTATGTATAAGAACAGAAATAGAAAAAAAAAAAAAAAAAAAAAAAAGATCTGAGAGGCGAGGTGAATGCGAAAATCCAGGAGATTCGTTAAAACCGAATCCATCTAGCGATTCTAATTAACGGCGGAAGCTCCAACAAGTCCTTTTAGCAAAGTATTCTCTATAGGGTCGCAGACATGGCTGTGACTATCTAAGAGTGTTCCCAGATATATATATATATATTAATTCCCGTTAAATCTGTTTTTACTCTCGTCTCGGAATTTTAAACAAAGCCACTCATGACTATTTTCTTTTTTATTTTAGTAAAAAAAAAAATTCTCGAGTAAAAAATAAAAAAAAAAACTAACAAAATTCTAATATTGGAAATGGCAAAAATTCTAATATTAAAAATTCCAAAAATTAAATTAATTATTAATTAAATTAATTTCAATAATTAGAAAAAAAAATTATTTTTTCTCAATGAAAACAAAATTGTAAATTTCAAAAAAATCACAACAAATATATTCATTGAGTTCCGTCCGCGAGGCGAAAAATGGGAATCGTAAAATTTGGGAACCGATAACATATATAAAAAAAAAAAAAAATTCGTACACGTTGTATACATCGCATATGTATTCTAATACTCGTTTATAGTAAAATATAAGCTACAGCAACACTGCTTGGTGTACTTCTGCAATATTAAAAAAAAAAAAGAAAAAAAATAAATTATCAGAAACGCAAAATCACTCTATATCAATATTTCCAAAAAAAAAAATATTTCTACATAAAACAATCAATATTTATTAGTACCTCAAAAATTATAATTTTAATCCAATTTTTAAAAGTTGTCAAATTTTCTCCTTTTATAGTAAAAAAAAAAAATTATTTTTCGAAAAAATATTCTTCATTTAAAAATTCTTTTATTAGAAAATTATTTTTCAAAAACATTCTTTAAAAATTTCCGAAAAATATTTTCCAAAAAAATATTTTTTATTATAAACATTTACCGAAAAATATTTTTTTTATTAAAAAATTATAAAGAAATAATTAACTAAAAAATATTCAATTTGAAAACAAAAAAAAATTATAATTTTTCCATTATCAATATTTGCATTTTTTGAAAATTGTGATTTGTTCTCTTTTCAGTACCTAAATAAATGTATAATGTTGAAAAAAATGTCTTATAGAAATGGAAGTCAAAGTTAATTATTAAGTGTAGTTAATTTTCGAATTTTTTTTTTTGTTTTTTTTTTCTAAGAAACATTTTTTTTTTTTAGATTAAATCTCGCTTCTATACCAAAGATCGACTTTTTCACGATGTTTGAAAAGAGAAAAAAAAATTTTTTTTTTATATATAAAAAATAAATTGCAATTTTACAATTTTATGTGCATAGTAAATTAACAATATATAAAAAGTTTATTTCAATTTTTTTTTCAAACCAGACATCTTGGAAAACGATCGAATAGAAAATGCGAGCGTGTTCGTTATTTTTGTACTGTGTACATATAAAAGATAAAACTATATATATATATATAAATGATTCGTTTTTTTTTTTGAAAGCTCAGCTTCTCTCCGGAAACTGGGCTTTGACGCTTTGATGCTTCCTTCATTTCTAGTTTTCATAAAAGCTCTCGTGTTTTACAAACATATAAAACGCTCCTCCATTCTTTCGACACGATCGATTAGATTTTATTAATATGCGCTCACAATAAATTCAAAGTGAATCAGAACGAGCGCGTTATCACTATATATATATACATACATATATACAAATTAAATTAGCACAATTTAGTCCCAGAAATATAAATATATATTTTTTAAAAAATAAAGAAAAATTAAAATTACAAAAAAAAGAAGAAAATTTTCAAGAAATTTTGAAAATAAATGTAAAAAAAAGCAATATAGTTATAATCCGCTCAAAATTAATGTCCTTTAACGTAAAATTACAGTAGTATTTTTTTTAAATTAAAAAAAAAATTTTTTAAATTCATTACGTAGAAAAAAAAGTTTTTTTTATATAACATTTGTTTTCTAAAAGAATTGTTACATAAAACAATTGTTTTATTAATTAATAATTAGATAATAATTAATTATACAATAATTTAATTATTGTATAAAATAATTGTTATGTAAAACAATTGTTGTATTAATTAATAATTTATTGATTATGCAATAATTAAATTATTGTATAAGATAATTGTTAAAAAACAATAATTTTTACGTTAATTAATAATGAATATTAATTGGACAAAATTTTAATTATTGTATAAAACAATTTTTTATTTTAATTAATTAATAATTATTTAATGTACAGTAATTTAATTATTGTATAAAACAATTGTTTTATAAAATAGTTGTTTTATTAAATAATTGTTGTATAAAATAATTATTATATAAAACAATTTTTATTTTAATTAATTAATAATTATTAATTGCACAATAATTTAATTATTGTTTTTGATTATTATTACATAAAATAATTATTGTATAAAACAATTGTTTTATAAAATAGTTTTTTTTATTAAATAATTTAATTAAATAATTGTTTTTAATAATTATTACATAAAATAATTATTGTATAAAACAATTGTTTTATAAAATAGTTGTTTTATTAAATAATTGTTGTATAAAATAATTATTATATAAAACAATTTTTTATTTTAATTAACTAATAATTATTAATTGCACAATAATTTAATTATTGTTTTTAATAATTATTACATAAAATAATTATTGTATAAAACAATTGTTTTATAAAATAATTGTTGTATATAATAATTATTGCATAAAATAATTGTTGTATAAAACAATTGTTATATTAATTAATTATTAATTAATTACACAACAATTTAATTATTGTATAAAATAATTATTGTGTAAAATAATTATTGTATGAAATATTTATTATGTGAAATAATTATTTTCTAAATAATTTTTGTATAAAATAATTGTTGTATAAAACAATTGTTATATTAATTAATTACACAACAATTTAATTATTATATGAAAAATTGTTTTACAAACCAATTTTTTTTTTGTTATGAAAAAAAAAATTTATTACATATAGAAAATAATTGGAATTTGAAAACTAAAATAAAAATTACCTATTGCGCTCGTTCAGACTATATATTTATTAGATGAAAATTTATCATATTATATTGCATTACTGGGGTATAGAGATGACGAAAAAAAAAAAAAAAATGAATTCATCGTATGTAATTTAAAATCGAAATCTATAGTATTATTATTCAACAAGTTCATCTGTACCTTTTACTCCGCATTACTGCTCTAAAGATATACTAAGTATAGAGATCATTGCACCGTTTATTTCCGTGACGGCGACCGATCGAGTAAGAGAGAGAGAGAGAGAGAGAGAGAGAAAGAGAGAATAAGTGTGAACTTGTGTATGAGTGAAAACCGAAGTGAGAAAGAATAAAACGAAAGAAAGAATGTTGTAGAGCAACTGACAATGCAACATGAAAAAAAAAAAAAGAAAAAAAAATTTTAACTTGTGTTTTGCCGACGAGTGCATCGATCTCAGGAGCAATATTTATTTGTAATATAAATGAAAGTCGTTGTAAATATAATTTTTATTAAGTGCACCACCTAAAAAATCGTTTTTTTTAGGGATGCTGTAACATAATTTAAGACGTTCGTAATAAATCGATTATTTTTCTTTAAAAATGCTATTTCATTTCTCTCCACCTTCCTTTACAATCCTACAAAATCGCCGAATTTTATTTTTTTAATATTTAAATTTTTTCAAATTTTAATTTAATTATTAATTAAATTAATTTAATTTAATACTAATAATAATAATAATTATTATTATTATTATTAAAAAATCTTTTCACAAATAATAATTATTATAAAAAATAGAATAATAATAATATAAAGAAAAAAGTTCTTATATTGAGGAGATATTTTTTATTTATTTAGTTATTTATTAATAATAATAATAATAAAAATAACAATAATTTCCATATAATTATTATTTATTTAATAAATAAATATTTTTCCAGTTAATAATTTTGATTTCTAATTTAATTCTATAATCACGTTATTATAATACTGAATTTTCAAATGTTATATTTGAGGTAAACTAGAGAAAGGAGACTTAATTAATAATTAAAATGACTTAAATCCCCCCCTGTGGATTTTCAAGTTTAATGAATTGAAATTTACATATAGAATTCAGAAACTCGTAAGCTGAATTCAAGAGAATTTCATCAATCCATCAATAATGAGAGAAGATATATATCATAAAAAGAAGAAAAATATTTAGAAAAAAAAAAAATAAAAAAATAAATCTTTTTCACAATAAATTGTGAATTTATAAAATTTCTTTTTTTTCCAATAGTCAATTTTAAGGTACATATGCATGTCGCGCATTTCGATTGTTTTGCGATATTTGAGCCTCATTCTATCCTACTTCAATTTGATATAAAGCATGCAGAAAATGAAAAACCATAAAATTGAAGTAAAATGAAACGAAAAGTTTGTTGGAAAATATATAGAATATGCAAAAAAAAGAAAGAAAAAAAATCGCATACTTGTTCTCTCACTATATATATATATATTTCGTTTTATGATATTCTCTTTTTCAGACGATGATATCGTACTTTATGTGACCTGTAAACTGTATAAGATGAAACGATCACGTTTACGAATTTCTAGACAATTTTTTTGTCAATATATAATTCTTTTGAATTCGTTCAATTTGTCTCTAGAAAACTTTTAATATTTAAAACATGCTCGGTGACATATTTCAATTTTTAATTTTTTTTTAAGACTTATTGTTGACTGAAAACTAGTTTTCAATTTAGAAAATACTATTTCAACATAGGGAAATTTTTTTTTTTAAATTAAGAATCGGTTTTTTCTACACTTTTCGGTGTATTTTGTGCAAGAATATGCAATAAAATCGTCTGCCTAAGAAAAATTGAATTTTTTTGGTTAGTTTTTTATGCTTTTGGATGCGTTTTTGGTCATAAAAAGGGTGTTCCTCTACTCGGATCTGGGTGTCAATTTTTTTCTACACTTTTCGGTGTATTTTGTGCAAGATTATGCAATAAAATCGTCTGCCTAAGAAAAATTGAATTTTTTTGGGAACTTTTTTATGCTTTTGGATGGGTTTTTGGTCATAAAAAGGGTCTTCCTCTACTCGGATCTGGGTGTCAATTTTTTTCTACACTTTTCGGTGTATTTTGTGCAAGAATATGCAATAAAATCGTCTGCCTAAGAAAAATTGAATTTTTTGCTTCCTCGTGGAGGAAGCTATGTAGTCCTTTCGTTTATAAACTTTTTAAAAATGGTGAAAACAAATTTTCCTCTATATAGAAACATGTTATATGAGATCCTGATCAATTGTCCGGATGTATGTATGTGTGTGTGTATGTGTGTGTGTGTGTGTGTGTGTGTATGTGTGTGTGGATCGTTTTTGTGAACACGATATCTTTAACAGGTTTTAATGGATTTGGATAAAATTTGGTAGGCTTATTTAACACATTAATCTCTCAAAAATGACGAGAGGATTTTTAAAAATACCCCAAAAAAAAA